TGGTGCAATGCGTCGGTCGAATACACGCTGGCCGCACTCATCAGCTGCCATGACGAGAACGTCGTAATCGAGCCACACAAACCGGTGCTCAATCCAATGTACAGGGCTGGCGAAAGATGCCGCTCTATCTTTGATCGCAGCGGAATGATGGAGCCGAGGATGAAGCAGCCGACAGCCTGCGCTGCAAACAGCGGAAACACCGGCGCACCTGGATACGAGTAGAGCTTGTTCAGATATATGCGAACTAGCACGCCAGCTTCGGCAAACAGGACCAGCGCAGCTATTGTGGCTATTAGGCTCGGGCATTGTTGTTGTTGTTGCTGTTGCTGCTGCTGTTGTTGTTGTTGCCACTGTGGCTTGGGTGATGGTGAAGATGGCGACGGCGAGCTGTTTGTGATCTCGCTCATCTCATGAGTATTCATCAAAAGTGTGGTAATAAAAAAAGAGTGTGGAGACACGGAAACTGAGACCAAATGACGCACTGGCCAATCCATAAAACAGCGACAGCAGCAGAAGCAGCAGTAACAATGCTCATGCGTGATATCACCGATTCACTAAACACGCAAACACACAATGAAATACGAAAAGGATGAAAAGGAATGGAGTAACTGGGGATTGAACCCAGGCCCTTCTACATGCAAAGCAGACGCGCTACCACTGCGCTATTACCCCTTGCTGTGTGGAGGCCGCCTGATTGGCCGTTTGGCCTCCCACGTTGCCAATAGCAGTCCCACCGAAAGAGTCAAGACTACCAGGTAGCACGGACTACCATGATGAATAAAGACTGCTATAGGAGCCACGAGCACCATGCCCACGAGTACCAACCTCACTCTGAAGATCATATATAAACACACTCGCTAAACATACTCTCCCACCTGCATCACTCTGATATCACTACCGAAGTCCCGGACCCCTGTTTCCCTTGTCACTCCTTCCACTGTTTCTCCCCTTGTCGTTTACCCTGTCGTTCCTCTTAACCCATTAACCTCTCTGTTCTTCTGATACACAACTGCGACCCTGTCGCCTGCCTTACCGGCAGCGTCTGGTATACTTGTTCACCGTCTCTGAACCGTTGTTTCCCTAGACATACTACTATGACCTCTCCTTACCCTCAACAGTGGTAGCGTCGGGTTTACTCGTTCCACCTTCCTTCGACTTGTTTGCTAGCCACCACCCTCGTTTTCCCCGCGTTCTTTGTCGCCCCGGAGGGATTATTTGGGAGGTTTCCCTGTCTCCATTAGTAGTATAGACCTTGATCCACTGTACCTTGCTCAACTTGTTTGACGTAAACCTCGTTTTCTGCTCCTCTAGCACCTCGGAAGGATTCCGTGTCCTTCAATCTCTTGTTGTTGGTCGTTTTTTACTCCGAATCCACACTGAACCAAGACACCATCAACGATCATATCGCCGACACTTGCGACACCATGGAGCCCTCTGATCTTCTCTGAAATGGTCCAGTTGTATGCTTCATCAAGACTGCCAACGTTGGCACGGTGGAGCATACAACCAACGAACTTTCTCTAGTTACACCAGTAACCAACCCAGACTTATCCACAGCCATCAGGTCCGAGGAGTTCTCCAAGCTAATGAAGAGACTCCTCGACGCAGTGTCTTGTATCCGGTCATCTGCGCCATCCCCACCTGTGTCTCCACGGCCCCTTTCTCTTTCTCTTTCTCTTTCTCTTGCTTCTTTCCTGTTTCTGCCCAATCACCTTCTCTCACAGAATATCGACCCATAAGAGGTATCAGCCTGTACGAAATCGTCATTTCCCACACAGCTTTCTCACATACCTCTACTCGATATCAAATCTCATCTGCCATACCCCCTGAACAACAACCTGTGTCCAAGCTTTCCTTCCTTCGAATCACAACCCAGCCCAATATTCTCACCCTGAAAACACCCCCTGACCGCACTGCTACGCACGCGTGCAAACTGAGCACCGACTCAGCCTTCCTCGACTCCTCTGAATTTCCCCATTGTCACAACGTCCGTCATTCACACTTGTGACTTCCATTTGCATTTTGTCATCTCCCAGACCTCGTTATCCCCGTTGCAGTCGCCATCGCCATCACCCTAGTTATCCTCCTGCCATTGCCATCACCCCTGACCTTGTTATCCCCGTTGCCATCGCAACGGTTATCGCCCTCACTAGTACCTTGTCATTACCAACACCTTGACCTAGTTAGCTGTATACCACCGCCACTACCTTGACCCCGTTACCCACATGGCCACTGCAACTGCCATTCCCAGCACCTTGACCTCGTTTATCACCCTCGTTATCACCCTCGTTATCCCCTGCCATTGACCACGCCGTGATCTCACTCATCATCCTTGTTATCCCCGTTACAGTCAAG